TTGGGTATGTATGTTCCCTGTTCACGAAGGCAGGGCTGTGGCCACCACCCATCTTCATTCCATTCCAGTCAACTTTTGCTTCTGTTGGATTTTTGTGATTTCTTTTGAAGCATACGTGTGGGGTTTGTTTCATGCTGCAGATAACGGGGCTGCGTTGGTCTGATCCAGGCCTTTGGGGGTCACCCACCGCAGGAAGACTAGGGCAGGGAGTCTCTCGACCCGCGAGGGTGCTGGTCTCCTTGGGCTCCTCCAGGGGTCTGAGAAGCAGCAGCAGTGGAAAGAAGGCATGAGGAGTGAGTCTCTTGAGAATTTGCTAATGGCCCCTAATTAAAGGAAAGAAAAGAAGACGTATGAGGACTTGGCTTTGGTCTGGATTTGACACCAGGAGGAGTCCTACAGAGGCCAGCCAGACCAAGGTCCTGGGCTGTGGGAGACTCGCCCCAGGGATGAGCATTTTATATGTAAAACTTTATATGCTCTTTAGCTGCTTTGATCTGGAATTCCAAAGAAGGGCCCAGAGGCCTGGGTTACACAGTCACACGGTCACTAGGCGGGAAGGAATTTCTGCCTTGGTGTAAAGGGGCGGAAAAAGCCGTCTGCCAGCAACATTCTGCCACCTCCTCCCTGAAGGGGGCGCCATGGGAGCGGCCTCCCTGAGGACGCCGCATCTGAAAGGCCCCAAGGGACCTGGTGCTGTGCCTGGGGTCTCTGGAAAAAGGGCGGACTTTAAAATGAGACTAAACTCCACGTAACCCAGGTCTCGAGTTAAATCCAACCATCTTCAGCCGGAGTACGTCTCATAAAACCCAGACCGTCTAATTGGCTCTCAACGATCATGTAGCGTCTTTAACTGCTCTTCCCTGCTTGAAAGCTCGCCTGAGGGGGGCACATGTCCCAAGGGTCCCAGCCCCATGGGCCCTGCGAGGCACCGGCGGGGCAGACCCTGCCCCCTTCCAGTGTTTCCCCCTACGTTGTGTGTAGTCTGGTAGAGCGTTACACTCTTCTCTCTCTCCGTACGGGGGGCTGCTAGGTAGCATGCACGGTGCCCAGCCCAGTGTGCATTTCAGGCAAACAAAACAGAACTCGTAGGAGAAGTATGTTCCCTGCAATGCCTGGAACATACTTAAAATGGAGAGAGTTTTAAAATTCTGATAACTGGGTGGAATCCACAGAGGTTCTGACTTCGTTGGTGTGGAGCGTGGCCGCCGAGGCATCGGAATGTTTGAACAACTCCCCAGCTGATTGTAATTTAACTGGGTGCCCCTATGTGGGTTTTGTTTTTTGTTTTCGCTGAACCTGGCCACCTTACCAAGTAAGGATTAGTAGTAACTTGTCCAAAGTTTAGAGGTGTTGCGGGGGCATGGAGAGGGGTTTCTGCAACAGATTCGCATTTTACTCGGCAGTTGGCTATCCTTACATTCAGTTGGAAACCAGACAAAATTTGCCGAATCAGCAAGTGAGGGTTATATACAGTATCTAATAGAAAAGGAGGTACTCTGTGTCTTAGCTAGGCCTTATTCTGTGGGGAAGTATAAGAAATAAAGTTCCAGTAGAAAAAAAAATTTTTTAACTTTGAATTGGCCAAGTTACACAAATTATTATGTTTTTTATTAGAGCAGAGGAGAGGGGCAGAGGGAGAGAACGAGAGAATCTTAAGCAGGCTCTACACTCAGCATACAGCCCGACTCGGGGCTCGATCGCATGGCTCGTGACCTGAGCTGAAATCAAGAGTCTGACCTTCAACCGACTGAGCCACCCAGGCACCTGTAGACAGACAGACAGACAGACACACACACACACACACACACACACACTTTTTAATTTGTAGATTCTCTAAGAATGGCCAGAGGGAAATTCCTTTACCTTGACTTTGTTTCTGACCTGTTACAAACACAGAGCTCAAGAATCTCCGAAAGCACTTGGACCTGAAACTGGTTTTCAACTTGGGTTGTGCATTGAAATCACCTAGGGAGATATAAAAACTTCCGCCTGAGCTGAACCCTGCCCCTCCTCCCATCTCTGCCCCCAGATTCCAGTGTAATTGGTATAGGTGTGGCCCGGGCACTCAAATGTTGAAAGAGCTCCCCAGGTGACACCGATGGGTAGCCCCAGGTTGAGACCCCTGCCCTAGAGGGTTGCTAGCCAAGGGTAGAGGAAACGGGTAGAGTTGGTCGTCAGGTTTGTTAATCCAGGTGCTGCGTTAACATTAGGGTGTCAGTGGCTTTGATGGATGGTGAGAAGCCAGGAGATCCCTCGCCCCAGGATGGGAGGCCAGGTGCCTTCAGGAACCGGTGTGCCCAGCTGTTCTCGTCACCCTGGGGGTTAGCACACCTGAGTGGGCAAGTCTCTGTCAGGTGCCCATGGGGTCAGGCGCGGGCCCATTCTGGAGTTGGGGTAGAACAGAGTCAAGGGTCGGGGAGGGGCTGTCCCCCGGAAGGCAGCCTCCTACTTGCACAGCTGAGCAGGAGGGGACACTGGCTTTGTGGGTTTTGCCTCTGACCTGTTTTCAGGCTGGGTGGATGAGGGTCACCCCAGCGTCTCCACTTTCAGCACCCAAACCAGCACGTCCCGGCCCACGTCCAGGAGGCTCCAGGCGCTGGTCTGCTGGATCATCTGATTCCTGACCCAGCCAGGTCCCGGTGGTCAGGAGGGCACAGTGCGGGCGCTTTTGTTCCACCGAGGGACTTAATGGCCGGCAGAAACTGCAGCGGCCAGTGGGGACTGGTGGCTCAGGGCGAAACTAAGGCCGCTTTTTGTGCTGTGGGCACGTGTGTTTAATGCATTAGCAAATTTAGCAGGGGAAGTTTGGGAACGGTCGCCACGCCAAGAAAATGACTGTTTGCCTGGCACGACCACAGCGACTCTTTGAAAGGGCTGAGGAGGGTTTGGGGCTGAGGGCTTCAGTGCTGGCATCCTCCCTGGCTGGTCCGCCTTGGGGACGGAGGTCAGTCCCTGTAGGGCGATGCTTCAGGCTGGTGGAGACCAAGGCCCATCTGCTGAGGGGCCTCAGGCCAGAAGGGCCTAGTACCCCCTGGTGACTTCAGGCAAGTTCCTTCTGTTGACCTTAGGGACCTTCAGGTCCTCCGTCCTGCTCTGAATCTGTGCGCAAAAGGTCAGGGAGCA